TGGAGCCATTTACATTTATTAGTGTTGTTACCCGTGCGATGCACGGGATACAATATAAAAAAATATTTTTATTAAATATTTTTAAATTATTTAAGATAATATGTCAATTTTATTCGACAAAACATATCGAGTCTATGATAATATAATATTTATTTAAATATTTTATTTTTATTTTTCCAGTTTTTTTTTTTTTTTTTAGGTATGAATTTAATTAGTATTAGTTTATAAAATATTATAAAAGTGTAAGATTTAAAATATAATAATTTTATACCAACTACTTGCATGTACTTATATAATTATCGATTATATTAATCTTATAATTTTTTTAGCAATTCATATTTTGCATATTGCTCGATGACTGACCGACGTTTAATCCATAAAATTAATTTTCATTTATAATCACTCTAATTGCACGAAATACTAACTTATGATAAATAAATTTTAATTTTTAGTAACTTTTATCTCTTGTGCAACACAAATTTTTCATGGTAAATATTTTGTTTTGTATTGTAATATTGTTTATATATTTTTTTATTTAATTAATTTTCTTGAACATATAGAATAATTTAATTAATAAAAAAATTATATAATTTTATATTCCAATGATTATAAAATCTTATAATTTCAATTATTACTTTGCTATATAATTTTATTTACTCATTGTTCTTTATAAAATGATATAGAATAAAAAAATTTGTTAACACCTTGAATAGTGTTTTTGATGTTTATCGATATTTTAATGTGAAATTTATAATTCTTTATTTTATCCTACCATAAAAATATAAATTATTAATATATATTCTTTAAATTTTAGTTTATTCATGATTAAGTTGACTACATTTTATAAAAGTTTTTTAATATTTTAAATTATTCATTAAGCTAATATAATTCAAACATAAATTTTCATTATTTTATTATATATTTTAAGTGTTATTGATTGATGAACATAATTCATATCTACAACCATGAGATGATAACAAAGCTAATCAAAATATTTTTTATAATTATAAGGAGTAATTTTTTTAAAAAAATTATGTTAACAAAATTACTATGAAATTGGTATTATTGGTCTTAAAATATATGTAAACAATCAATAATTCTATTTAGTGTGTTTGTGTGTGTGTGTATTTATATATTACTGTTGAATTTTTTGTTTTACCTAAACGTCAAAACAAAACTTGTATTAATACATTTATATCTTTGATTATTATTAAAACAAAATTTATCTTCACAAATATTTGAGACCAAATTTTACTT